TCATATTCTTTTAGAAACAAACCAAATTTAGCACAGATAAACACATGAACCTCCTGAACACTTGTAGCTATGGAACCACCTTGGCAGCACCCTCTGGCAAGAGCAGAACAATGGATTGATAAAGGGTTCTGGAGGAGCTGTTGGCTTGACAGAGAACCCCAGTGCATTATGTCGATGGATGACTACAGGTCTGGAGCAGCAAGGATACTTCTAGAATTTGAGGATATCTATCGACCACAGCATAACTGAGATTATGTAAATCACCATGAAAAGACACCAGGAAATAAAAGGGCATATACAGGTGAAGTGAAGGCCATGGTGTCAATTCCCCATGAAATGGGGAATCCATTTATGGAGGAGAGCAAAGATTTGTTAGCTACAGACGGCAAGAATGTCACGAACAAAGATGTTGTGGACACAGTGATTAAGAAGGCAATCACCGATGTCATAAGTCGAAACAAGCTGGCATTTTATTCACATGCAGCAAAATTTGAGATTTCAAGAGACCATGGAACAATGTCTAGTTTGTATTTTTCAGGGTTGGTACGAGAAGGAAATCCAGAGAATTTTTTTTGTACGAAAATTATCCTTTCCCACCTGCTCTTTCTGACAATTAAATTTTTTCCCATTTAGTGGACAATGCTGACCATGTGAAATGTCGAGAAATATCAACTGTGTCAAGTAACCAGCAGTGGACACATAGGTCTTTGATGATCCAGCTCTTGTTCATCTGCTAGCACTGACAATTTGCATATTATTTCATGAATATGCTGCAACAGTTTTCCTGCCATATCCTGAAAACCAATTCAAGAATGTCCAATGTGGAGATATAGGTTGAGATATATACTGTATATCTGCAAAATAGTTTCAAACAATCAATACGACTGACACATGGGATAGGCAAACGACAGAAGGTACTGAGTAGCTCTAAAGTGCAGAGCAACTGGAAGGGCATTCTTGGAGTGATTGAGCTGTTTGATTTACTATTATGCTACATTATTTATATGAGTAAAAATTTAGTTGGTATAATTATTTGCGGAGGAAGTGGGGTTACAGGGAGTGGAGGGTTAGTGGTGGTGGAGAGCCGTAAAGGGAAGGGGGCGCCAAATTTTGCCATTGCCCTGGGCGCCATCAAGGCTGGCTACGGCCCTGCGGGGAAGTACTGTCTGCCAGTACCTGTTGAGGCCATCGGTAGTCACCCACTGGCGCTGCAACAGACCATCCTTCAGCCGAAGAGCATCTCACTGAGCCCAGTAGTTTTTTGTCTTCGGACTTGCTCCAGAGATCGTCTCCTAGGCTGGCCGCACTGAGCTCTGGTTTATCCACTTGACCACTGGTCGCAGGTCTTGGTCTTCTAACTGCAGCTTCTCAAAGCCTTCCCCAGTAACGGCTGGATCCTCCTCCACTGTAGTGCGACTACACTTCTTGGGAGCTGCCTCTCTCCTGCAACACTGCTGACAATCGGGCTCCACCACTCCAAGACGGGTATGCAAGGCACCGTTCACCTTGCGTGGCAACCGCACCTCCGATCTTGGGGGAATAACTACTGTCCGCCTAGTTGTAATCTTAGCACTTGCAGGCTTCACAGTCATCAGCGGTACCCACTTTTCCTTTATTCTTAAATGCCTCCCAGGATGCAAGGGTCTTCGATATCCGCTATATAAACCTGTAGGGTTTCTCCTTCCCCTCCTATCTTGATGCTGATATCCACTGGTCCCTTTAGTACTCATAGTGTCCAGTTATCCCGCACAGCTGCTGCGACGTCTCAGGCAGTTTTCGATGACTAACCACGACCGGCCTCACAAAAGTCTCACCTTCAACCTGGACACTGCTTACAGTGGCTCGGTTGCGTTTTGTCAACTGTGTGGCTGGTAAGACAGGCTGGTCGTTGCCCCCCAGCACCCGCCATTTCTGGTTTTCACATCTTAGTTGGCTGCTCTTCTTTCCCTCTCTTGAAATTCTGTGGGCAATTAGTCTGGAAGAGTCCATTTTCTCCACACGTCCAACATCTTCTCTTCTCCATGTTCTTCTCTGTATTGCCCTTCTCTCGCTCTCGTTTCCGCTTGTAACAGACTTCCTGTTTATGACCAATCTTTTCACAATACCAACAGGTTCTTTTAAATCTCTACGTCTCTTATACTTGGCCCTTTCGTGCTTTAAACCCAGCGCTAGACTCTGTCCTGAAGCTTGGTAAACTTGACCCCTCTTAAGATATTCAAACTCCAGGGCTCTAGCCAAAGCTTCCTGTAGAGTTGCCGGTTGGGACTGCTTCACCTGAATATTGAGCTGCGTGCTGTCCAATGCGTTCACAAACTGGTCCTTCAACAACACGGCCAACAGCTCAGGTGATGCTCCAGGGTATGCCCTATGAGCCATACTTTCCAGGTCCTGAGCAAGCTGTTGCAGTGTTTCACCTCGATTACAGAATCTGGGTCTGTAAACCTCATTCTAGTGCTTGGTTCCACACGTTCGATCCAGTACCTTTACAAGTAACATGTAACTGCATCGCTCTGCTTCTGTCAACTGGCTGAGAACCTCCATAGCCGCGCTCTTAAGACTTGTGGCTAATTACACTGCACACTGCTTGTCGTCCCACCTGTTATGTTCAGCCAGTAACTCAAACTGTGCTTGGTATGCTTCCCAGGAGACCTTGCCTTCGAATTCCTGTGGTGTCTTCGCTGGCACTCTTGGATAGTTCACCACTTTACTTGATGTAGCATGTGGTCTGTATTTAGGTGCTCTGTAATTCACCTCAACCATTTCTTTTTCCACACACTCATCGTATTTTCCATCATTTTCAACACTATTCATTCTACTCTAAGCGTACACAAACGATGTATCACGCACACCAACACAATTATAGGGGTCACTAGATCTTGGCCGATACCCTGTTCTTAGACAATTCTCCAGAGTTTCCATCCTGCAACTGACTTTCTGTAGCTGTTCACTTACCTCGCTGATCTCACCACTTACTTTTTGTTTGTGCTGTTTCAATTTTTAATCCACTTCCAATTGCACCTCATGAAATGCATCACTCTTTCTGTTACACATCGCTTGCAAAGCCTCATCCCGTTCCTGAATTTTCTTGTCGATCTCTTCCTGTAGCTGCTGTAGTTGTTGCTTCTGTTCTCTCTGTTCTTGCAGTAGTTATGTTCTTTGTTCCGTTCTTGCAGTAGTTGTTTATGTTCTTTGTTCCGTTCTTGCAGTAGTTGTTTCTGTTATCGTTGTTCTTGCCGTAGTTGTTTCTGTTCTTCTCGTTGTGATTGTAAGAATTGCATCAGATCAGCCATGGAAATCTCCCCTTGCCTGGCCTGGCTTCTGATCTGGACACCTTCACCTTCCATCCTGACTGATATCTCACTGCTAGGCTATCCCACTCCTGACACCAGTGTTACGACCCTCCTCCTTTCGCCGCTTACCCAGCTTCCACCACTGGTTACCAGCGGCTAGGGTCGTATGTACAGAAGCAGTAGATATCTCACAAGTGTTGTCGAATTACCATTGGCCATCCCGCCAGTCTCCGGTAATTTCCCGACGATCGGTATCAGTGTACATACAAACAGGCAGGCAGGTAGATTTCCACCAGGTCACAGAAACAAACTTGTGCACTGTAAGTCTTCTTTAATAAGCACTGATTCTCCACAACACTGTTAACAGGGTAATGGCTTGACAGCTAGACTTCTCATTTCGAATATATAGTCAGCACACTACCAGTCTTCTCACTTTATATTAATCGCAACAATTCCACAACACTTGCACAACAATTGTCTTCAGTTGTTCTGCTCGGCTTATTCTTTGCACTCTGAACAGAAGTGCTATATACAGTATATACCTCATCTGACGCCTCTCGAACATCCAAACACCACCCAGAGACGCCTGGGAGAATCTCGGACGTTCTACTCTGATCGAGGCGTTCAATAATAAGCAAATCATAAATGATTATGCAATACATTCAAAAATATTCTTACATATTTAATACATCAATATATGCACGAAAATTTCACTCAATTTGCCAAAACAACTGCTGTATGGGACAGAAAACAGTCAAAACACCTCGTTTCACAAAATTATAATACGAAATTATGCCTCGGCATAGCAATATGCACACGAAATAGTATTTATGTGTATGTATACATACGTATGATAAGGCTCTCTTTTCATTTCACATAGTGTTGAATTACGGGTACTATACAATTTTGACTATCTGTCTGGGTCAAAATTCTTTACTGCCTACCCAAAATTAATCAGACCTTCCCTACCCTACCTTGATCTAAAATAAATGCATACCTAGCTAACCTACTCTAACCTAAACTAAGTTATTCTAAAGTAATTACATACGATATCTAATTTGACGAATCTAATTTAAACGAATCTAACTTTCTGCTAACTTATATAAACATAACCTTTCTCTTAACCTGCCCTAACCTATAACCTAGCCTACACTAAATAACAAAATTTGGATTTAATAAACTGAGGTGATGGGATTTTGACATTATTAATTTTGTGGTGAAATATATATATTTTTTAAGTTAAACAATATTAAAGCCACTAGTTAAGTTATTTACTTGACCGCAATCTACTCTATTAATAATCTCTTTGATTTTCTTGATCAATAATAGACAAATAACTTATCTCCCTAAAATACGGATATATGAGTTTGTTTGGCAGCACTATTACTGTCCACATTATAAATCGTCGAGACATTGTCACCAAGGCTTGTAGTCTAAATCACATATATTTTACCTATCAAATTCAAAATTAAAATGATTTTACGCTGTCAGACGTACGATTATGGCTTTGAAACTGTATTTCCTGCTTCTTGCTATCACCAACAGATATATAAAATAGGATTATCGTCTTTCAATATGGATTTGTAATGTGTTAACATATGAAATGTCGAAATAACGAGCATAGTAAATTTGGTTACGGTGTGATAAGTTGGGTGGCGGAAAGAGGAGGCGCCGCTTCCTCCAGCCTCCCAGGCTCACCTCACACTTCCCAGTGCCCGCGGAGGCCTGAAGAGCGGTCAATAGTGGGTAGTGTACGTGCTGCGACCCTAGTGGGGTCACACGTGTGGTGGTACGTCTACGGGCGCATGACTGGTGATACAAGTCCTCTGGCCAGGTGCTGAATTTCCATGGACAGGCAAAGTCGCCCATTGATTGTGTTGCCTTCATGAGTTGTACCTGAAAGTTATAAAGTGTGAGTTCTTTCTAAAGTCAGTATGTAAATTTATCCTCTTTTAGCTATTTCTAGAATATGTGTAAGGTGTCGCTTCTTTAGGTTGAACTACCTCCTTCGAAAGTATGCACACATGCATGCGCTGTAAGCCTGTTTTAAATAAGCTTAAAACAATTTTTTTTTAATTTTCAATATAGGTCCCCTGTTAAGGTAGTGACGAGCGTAGCAACAACACAACACGGTGCAACACAGCCGTCCTGGTCCAAGAAAAAGGAATAGATGGCGGACGTTTAGGTTTTTTGGAGTTCTTAATCCAGATAGACGTTGTAATACCGAAATAGCCTAGTTACCGTTACCCTCGTATAAAATATATAGTTCCCTACCTTGCGTTTTTTATTTACCTAAGAGCACCTTTTAGACTATTTGTATATTGTTCTGCCAAACAAGAGTCGGCAGCAGATTAACTCTTAAATCCGTGTTACCTTATTAAAATTAATTCGGTCAAATATTAAATTGGTAAACCTTGACTGTTTTGTCAAACTGGATCTGTCATTGAGCGTAAAAATTCGTTTTAAATAATTAATTCAAATTGATTTAATTAGCCAGATCAACATGCGGAATATGTAAACATTGTAAACAATGGTAACTTAAAAAAATACCCAGCCCAGGTTCAACTTCCAACGATAATATTCCTCATGACTAAAACAATGAGAGTGCACATGACGGTTTAATTAAGCTAAAACAATATGAACAAGAAACATAGCAGGAAAATTAGTTTGCCTTAATTATATACGTTCTCAGTATTATATAAAGTACTAGGTAATGTAATATTTTCCCCAAGAGTAACTTTCTCTCCTAACGGATACTAACTTTATTTGTAGCATAATATCTTGTTTAGTCATCTAGTGTAGAAATTTGTCTTTTCTACACAAGAATAGGGCAAGCAAAAACAGCATTAAATAACATAAAAGACCTAATGAAAAGGGACATTAACTTCAATTTGAGAAAAAATGCTGCTGAAAGTCTTTATTTGGCAGACACCGGAAAGAAGTTGGCGGCCTTATGAAATGCAATGTTATAGACGAATGCCAAGAGTGAGTTACAAGAAAACAAATGAAGAATTACTAACATTAGCAAAAACTTCAAGAGAAATACTTGAAATGTGCAGAAAAAGAAAAATTAGATACTTGGTCATATAATTAGGGATGAAGGGATAATAACAAATATTAATAGGCAAAATTGGAGGTAGGTAGGCCCAGGGGAAGGCAGAGATTGGGATGGATAAATGAAATTAAAACCTGGGTACCCAGAGAGATACAAGACATTGGAGGATTGGTAAAAACAACCTGAGAACGTTTAGCGTGGACTGGTCGCCAACCCTCAGACATGAGGACGGTACTCTGAATGAAAGCATAAAATGGTGGAATAAACCAACACCATAGCAAAGAACAAGGGAAAACCGGCATTTCATTCAACGAAAATAATTACCCGATCGAACGTAATTCCCTTAAATAGATCGTTGCATGATTAAATGATAGGCACATTCTAGTTAAGTAATCAGGGTTGTTGTTCAATTAACATTTAAAATCACCCAATCAGACAAATGACGGTCCGAAGTCTCAAGCATTCTTCCGCACTTTTTACATTTAACTAGTGTCCATCAGCCACCCTGGGTGATTTGTAGCGTGACATGTCTCAAAATAGGTCAAGGATTCCAACCGCCAAAAAAGATTGACAGCGAATAACACTGACCTGTAAAGGTTATCTCTTAATTCTTTGGGTACAAGGGGTCTCACTGTGCTGAATAAAATCGTCTGACGTTAACCAAATACAATTTTAACAGTGGTGCCCAGTAGTGAAGGGGTAAAGTTAAGGTAGGTTTGGTTTGGTTGGCGCTTGTATCCTATCGATTGAATATGAAAGTGTGTTGTTTCCATATGAAATTGCTTACTTTGTATCTGTTGATCAATGTGATACCCCATAGCATTTATGATTTTTTTAATATAAATGTATGAATCAGGTGCCTTTCCTCTTGCTCTGAAAACCCTTAACTATGTTAATATTATTATTTTTGGCGAAATAAGCAGTGTAAATTATTACAGGTAGTAAGCAGGTACCAAACAGGGAGGTACTACCGCCTGGGAAGATATTGGAAGCATAATGTATTGGCCTAATGGTAGACCCTGCTGCCATATTACATAACGAAAATTGTGACCAAGTCCCAGGTTGCAGATCTGACTTTCTGCCTCATTTGTTTCTCTTACTATTGACAACACAACATACATATATTGTTTCACACTTTTGACCTTTTTCGTGTGTTTATTTATTTATGGCCCAATATTATTATTATTATTATTATATTTTTATTTAAAAAAATTAGATTTTTTTACTAATTTTTATTTTATTATTATTATTATTATTATTATTATTATTATTATTATTATTATTATTATTATTATTATTATTAATATTATTATTAATATTATGTTTTCGCCCCCTGGCCCTGATATGGGTCAATGACCTGTGCCCAGGTGGGCTAATCCCGCAAAAAAAAAACCAGCAAGATGTTACGCGCTCCACTAGTCACTGCTGGACGCTCACCACTTGCATTTATACCCCACCAAACTGAAGATAAAATCTAGTTACTCTAATTTCGAAACCATTATTACTAGGTGCCGCTTTTATGTTGTAGCCAACATAAACCAATGAGTACGTTCTTATTCAAGTCGGATTAGCGGGTAAACTCTTATTTGGTTAAATTGACACATCAGGTTTGTAATTAGTCGAGCTATATGAATAAGGTTGGTAGATGTTTTAGGTCATTGTTTACACTGGGAGGAAACTGCATTGCATGTCTGCATAATTTGTGATAACTTTGTAAAATATCCTCAGACCGCGGGAGAAGAATATCCATACATATTTATTTCCAACCATGGGCGTTTACTTTCAGCCCATCTCAGTTCGGAATCTGTACATAAGTTGTTTTGGATTATGAGCGCATCCTTTCAAACTTTTTTTGGTTTGGAGTTGCGTTACATGATAACTGGTTCAGATTGATTGTACATCATTCAGACTTTTCTTCTAAAATCTCTTGGGAAGCTTGTGTGATTCGGAACATGTTCAGAGGTGGGGTGAGGTTAGGTCGTCGCTCAGCGCTATCGGTGTTGGCGCGGGAGGCAGCCTCGTTTATTTGGATGTGGGACGTCTCCCTGGTACAATGTGTGAAGGAGAGGGCAGGTGTTGCCCATCAGACAAGGTTTTGCACAAGTGATCACTCAAAAAGAACATTTATTGGTCGACTTGTAATAAGCCATGAATAATTGGATAGGTAGGTTATGTCTTTTATTCAGTCAGTTAGCTGGAAATAAATAAGGCACAGAATAGAGAGAATTGTGATAAACGTTGAACACATGGGTACGGAGTCTGCCATAGGCTTGAGATGCACGTGATCCGATGTTGAATCTCTTCATCGATGTCCGTGGTAGTGAACAGGTGGGAGTCAAGATACTGAAAGTGAGTAACATTAAAGAGGGGAGTACCGTTAACCTGGATGGAGGTGTGGTTGAACCAGGGGCAGGCTGAAAGAAAATCTGAGTCTTACCTACATTCACCTCAAGACCGAAAGTGTGCATATGCATCTGCGTAGGAGTTCAGGATCTCTTGTAGGTCACGTTCAGTGTGAGCGACGAGGGTGAGGTCGTCTGCATACTGAAGTTCAGTGATGGAAGCGGCTGACACTTTTGTTACTGCCTGGAGTTGTCTATGTTGGAAAGCTCCTTAGTCCGGTACTGGATGTCCACCCAGCCGGCTAAATTGGCAACCAAAACGACTGAGGGTAGGCCAGAGTGCTTCCCTGTTGACCGATCCGAAAGCCTTGATAAGGTCGATGAAGGCATGTACAAGTCTTAACGCCTTTTTCTGTTATTTTCCTGTATCTAGCGGGCAACAAAGATCATGCCAGTGGTTCCACATATACTATATATATATATATATATATATATATATATATATATATATATATATATATATATATATATATATATATATATATATATATATATATATATATTGAGAGAGGGAGTAACGGAACGGAATGCTGTAAACTATGGACAGGTATTGTGAAGGTTGTGAAGGAGTCAAATTGAAGGAAGAAAAAAAAACATTTTGCTAATGCTGCATTACTGCACTTCACTTAAGGAGATGTTTAACGTCAGCAAAAATAACATTATTTAGCATAATTTGTAGGAAAATATTTTACATATTTACCGTTACTATTTGATGCAGAAGAACATTTTTTGTAACCCTGTAAATGTGTTCTCTCAAATTTGAGTTGTACAAAAATAAAAAATCACATGAACCATTTTATAGAAAAATAACTATTTTGAAACAAACAAAACACAAACCACTGTAACTAACGTACTTGGAGCTGCTGCAGCCTCGTCAGATCTTTTATTCCAACCGATCTTTCAAGTTTCAAGTCTCTTGTACCTCGGCACAGGGCCCTCGGCTCCAACGCTGGACTCGCTGAGACCTTATAATAGCTCCAGCCACTGTGTGGATCAAGGGGTTCAGCAAATGGTCTTATCACCAGCTAAACCACTTAAAGCCATATGACGTCATTCTACGTCGTGAGCTATTTTTGGACAGCGTTTGATGCCTCAGAGGTGTCGAGTGATTTGGATTTGGTATTAAATCGGGAAAATTGAACCCTAGTCCTTTTTCTTTTCCCAAATAATTTCCGCTTTAGGGGTTTTAGATGTATTTGTTAAATTTCTTATCGGCTAATTGCTTAATTACGGTTTCTCTGGACTTCGACAACCTCAAAGATATCTCAAAATATCAGAATTCTTTGTTTTAAACTGTATTTTGTTATTACGACCAGACTAAAACTTAGAATAGTAACACATTGAATGAATGATTTCTGGATTATGAGGTCATCCTTAAAGTTGACGTTTACACAACACACTTCTAAGTTTCAGTTGGCAACATAATGCTGGCGGAGCTCATCAGCAAACGGGATG